ACAATCGTACCGCCTTTGGTGCCATTACCGCAAAAGGACGTCAAAACTGTTTTCTGGTTTTGAGCAATTGTGGTTAATTGCTATGTGATTGGGTTTGATTGTAGGTTGGAAAATAAAGGAATTAAGGGGAAATGCTGTCCGATTTTAATAGCGTTGGTTACCTTAAGTTTCAAGTGAAAGGCTTGGATTTGAATGATGGAATTGGCTATATTGAACAAGGATTATGAGCCGTGGAGGTGAGTGACCTTAAACTACTTGCAACGTTACTTTAAAATGTTTCTTGCATCGTTTCTTTGATTGCATATCCTGTGTGCCGGCATATAAGTTCTTGACATGTTTTGGCTCAAATGAGTACTTGGAATTCGTGTGCTAGACTCCGACGTTTCCTCCACCGTTTAATGTTCCTGTGGAGCACCAATGGGCTCAATGTTCAATGTTCAATGTTAATGTTCAATGTTAAATGATTGTTTGGAGCGTTGGACGTCTAAGTACCATGATTTCACTGGCTCATGAGAGAAGTGAAAGTGCATTGATTGTTGAAGCATGACATTATTGAAATGAACGATTGTGAAACTGATTTGATAACTGAATTTCTTGGTTACTCGCTGAGCTTCTAGCTCACCCCAAAATGTTTTATTCCCCTCCACAGGGCTCAAGGCGAAGGAGTGGCTTGTAGTGTTTATTCATGGATTATCTCATGTGTGGCTTGAATTTGGATTTCCTTTTGTGTAATCGTTCATATTGGGATTGTATTGAACGTTTAAAATTGCTTGGATGTGTAATCATCTAGTTTTGGACTTCCTCCTGTATAATAGTTGGTATCAAGGATCAGAGTGGCGCTGCGGAAGCGTGGACGCTTCGCTTTTGATATGTAAATGTTGGAATATTGGATTTATATTTGAGATTGTATCTTGTATTTGTTTGAGGATTGTAGTGAACGACTGAGTCCCGGCGAGAGCCGGGCAGGCGGCCCGCCGAACCCTCTGGTTCGCCTTAGGGGGAGGTGGGGTCGTGACATGACAAGCCACGAAAAGAAAAATAAATGAAGGGTAAAAAATTAAAGCTTATGCACGTATGCTAGTGCTCGTTTGGAGGGAAGGGATCGAGAACCAACGCGAGGCTCTAGGGTAATATCCCCCACCCAAATGCAATGCAAAGCATGGAATCACATAAATAAACCATCCATTCATCCAAACAATCGTATGCCAATAGTGAGGGAGTGAGTTGATACGCGTGAAATGCAAAAAAAGTCCTAAAAAAGGAAAAAATGCAATCCTAAACATCCAAATGTAATATATAAGAAGGTTAAAAGAAGAAAAAGATTGACTAAATCAATTTGCTCGGAATCTCTAAGTCCCCAGTGGAGTCGCCAGCTGTCGCGCCCCATTTTTAATAAAATAAATAAATGGTTCAAAAAGTGAATTTTGGTTTGATTTTTAATTTGAAAAAACGATTTTGATGAAAATGGGCCTAAATGGGGGTTTGTAAATGCGACGATTTGACCCAAAATAATAGTTTAAAAGGGTTTTGAATAAAAATTGGAGTCGCCACTTGGTATAGAGTTAAGGTGTACCAAGTCACCTAAAAAATAATTTTTTGAGTAAAATTATAGAAAACCCTTAAACGTGAAATTGAATCAATTTAAATCATGTAAACGACCTACATTTAAGAAATTAAAACAAGCAGGGGCCTAATTGTAAAAATTAACAAAGTTTTAGGGTCAAAATTAAAGAAAAATAAAGTTTAGGGACCTATTTGCAATTAAATTAAGGACTCAATTGAAAAAACATTGAAAGTTTGTAGGGCCGTAGTGAAATTAAAGAGAAGTACAGGGACTGATCTACAAAATTTGTTTCTCTGTCTTCTTAATGGATCAAACCACTGGGCTATTTTATTTATTTGTTTGGGCCAAAAATCACTTGGCCCAATCGGAAGTCCAAGGAAAACAAGCGGGCTAGCCCATCATTTTCACTAATCTAACTCATAGACAGTTAAAGGCCTCAAGCTTTCAAGCCCAAATCATAAACCCAGGAGAAGCAAACCAAAATCCATTAGTCCAACCCAACTAAGTATTATTACCCAAAACCTAAACCATACTACTAAACCCAACAAGATAGACAAAATAACTAAAATTATCAAGCCACAATTATGATTTAAATCCCAGAATTAATCTATCCAAAAAAAAAATCACATAAAATAGGCAAACATAGGATTAAGCTCAAGGAAGGCAAAAATGAATTCGATTTTTCCAAATTTTGGGGCCACGGTGAACAAGGGGAAGACTTGAGGGGTTCATATGCAACAAAAACAGGGACCTAATTGAAGGAATTACAACAGTTTTGGGGGGCAAATTATGAAGTTCTAAAACTTTTGGGGTTATATCACAACGGAAAACAAAAATGGATGGACTGAGATTGCATTTTTAGACCAACGGTCTTCTTCTCCGATAGAACAGACATCAATCCACCATTTCTGTCTTACTTACAACCAGAGCAATACCCAAAAAACCAGTTTTAATTCTAGCCCTTCCCAATCAAAACGACGATCACACAAACTTCTTCTCAAACCATTTCAATTCGAATTTATTCAACCGAAAACATGAGAAACAGAAAAATGGAGGACAGCAATGCATCAAAATTTCTTAAACGTGAGGAAACAGATTGGCCGACTTAGCCGGTTTCTTCACGCACGAAATGCAACAGAACATCTTTCAACAAGAATTTTCGGCTAGACATTTCATCGAACAGATTGAGGGCATTAGAAGTTTCACCAATTCTTTGATATATTGGAACTATAATCGGCCCAAAATTGTTCAGTAACAAAAATTTCAGTCCACTTAATCCCATAAGATCACGTACAATCAAAAAATGACGGACAATCAATCAAGAAAGTCGCAACAACCAATTCACAGAAACATGCTTGGGGTTGGGATTTTCAGCATTTGTGCTTGAAAGGCAAACCGAAATTCGAAGGGAGAATTGGCTTACAGTGCTTTCTTGGCGACAATTTGCAGGCGATGGTGATGGATTGACGGTAAGGTGGTAGTGGAAGCCACTGCTGCTTCGACGGCTGCGGTGGCAGAGGCGGAGGCGGAGGTTTGCTCTCTTTTTCCAGATTCTCCTTTTTCTTGCTCTTCCTTCCGTTTTTCTTTTTCAGTTCTCTTCCTCCGCCTCCCAAAGCCGAATCTCCCTCTCTGTTCCTTTTTGCTTTCTTCTTCTTTTCCTCCGCCCATTTTCCCTGTTTTTCTGGTTGCCTCTTCTGTTTTTCCTCTCTTGGCCTTCACTGCCTTTTTCTTTTCTTCCGTCATATCCTTTCTCCTAGCCGCCAACTGCCTTTGCCTTTCTTGTCCTGTTTTCCTCTTCATCCGTTTCACTCTACCCGAAATTCCTCCTCCGAGTTCCAGATTTCAGCCGCATCTTCCTTCTCGATTTTTCTTGTTCCTTGCCTTCTTCTTCTTTTCCTCCACCTCTCTCCGATCCTTCCCTCTCTCGGCTCTCTATTCTCTCAAAACCCTCCGCCCTCAGATGAAGCTTTTTATTTTCTCCTCCTACTCCGCCGCCCACTCTGTTTTCCCCCTTGTTTTTTTGTTTGTTTTTTTTTCATTCTCCTCTGTCTCTTCTCCCCTTCTGTCCCTCAACCCTTCTCGGCCCTTCTGCCGATTCCTCCCCCTCTTTTTTTTTCCAGATTTCTCCAGCCGCTAACCCCTCTGTTTCTTTCTTTTCTTCTGTTTTTTAGCCTCCGATGAAGCACTCTTCTTTTTCCTCTCAACTGAAGCCCCCCGAAGCTATTTTTCTTTCTTCCTCCCCTTCAGCTGTCCTCCTCCTGCGTAGCCTTCTTTTGCCCCTTTTATCTGATTTTTTTTTTTACGCAGCCTTCAACCCTAGTCGCCTCATCCTTCCTCCCTTCTTTTTGTTTTTCTATTCCTTTTAATCTTAGGCCCCCAAGTGTCTAACATCTAATCCCTTAAGTGCTTAGTTGTCCAATATATAAAAGGGACACTTGTCCTAATGCATGCCTCCCCACTTGTTATTTTCAATCTTTTCCTTTTTTTTGTTCCTTTTTCTTTTTTCTTCTTTTTTTCCTTTTTCGAAAATTTAGTGCTAAAAAACTCTTAATTCAATTAAAATAAGACAAGAGACACGAATCAAAACAAAAAAAAAATTAAAATAACATAAAACCCTAAAATCGAAACAAATTAAATTAAAAATTAAATTAAAATGAATAAAGTTTGAAATCAAAATTTGGTGTCTACACATGCGTTCAACGTCCCTTCGCATGTGTGGCCAATAAAAGTGCTCTTGCAATATTACTAAAATCTTAGCAATGCCAAAATGGCCCATGAGACCACCACTATGTGCCTCTCTAACTAATAAGTCACGGATGGAAGAATTAGGCTCGCACAATTTGTCAACATAAAACAAAAATCCATCATGCAAAAAGTATTTTCCATGCAGACTCTTGGTACACAATGCAAATATTTCACCAAAATCAATGTCATGTGCATAGAGCTCTTTTAGCATTTCAAACCCAAGCAACTTTGCATCAAGAAAAACTAGCAAAGAATGTCTATGAGATAATGCATCAGCTACCACATTCATTTTACCAGTTTTATACTTAATGACATAGGAAAAGGTGTCAATAAAGCTTACCCACTTGGCGTGCCGTTTGCTCAATTTCGATTGCTCCTTGAGGAATTTCAAGGATTCGTGGTCAGTGTGTATCACGAACTCCCTTGGACAGAGGTAATGTTGCCAAGTTTCCAAAGCTCTTATAAGTGCGTACAACTCCTTGTCATATGTGGGGTAATTCATAGCAGCACCTCCCAGTTTCTCGCTAAAGAATGCACAAGGCCTCTTGTCTTGCATTAGCACAGCTCCAATTCCTATACCAGAAGCATCACATTCAATCTCAAAAGTCTTATTAAAATTAGGTAACGCTAAGACAGGTGCATATGTGAGTTTGTCCTTAAGAGTAAGGAAAGAAATTTCTTGTGCTTCTCCCTAATGGAATTTATCATTTTTCTTCGTCACTGCAGTCAATGGTGCAGCAATGGTACTGAAGTCTTTGACAAAAAGTCGGTAGAAGGCAGCCAAACCGTGAAAACTTCGTACATTCGCAACTGACTTTGGCATTGGCCAGTGTTTAATGGCTTCGATTTTAGATTCGTCTACTTTGATGCCCTGCGAGCTAACAACATAGCCTAAAAACACAAGATCGTTAGTACAAAAGGTGCACTTCTTAAGGTTAGCATAGAGGTTCACCTTTTGAAGTGTTTCAAGTACCAACCTAAGATGCTCCATATGTTCATGCATGTTTCGACTATCGATCAAGATACCATCAAAGTAAACAATGACAAATTTTCCTATAAACTGCCTTAAAACATGGTTCATTAATCTTGTCGCGCCCCATTTTTTGAAAATAAAAGAAAAATAAATTAAGTTTTAGAAAAGATTATTATTTTGAATGAAAAAATGAGTTTGATATAAAAAGAATAATGGGCCAAATGGGACATAGAAAATGCGACGATTTGACCCAAAATAATAATTTAAAAGGGTTTTGAATAAAAATTGGAGTCGCCACTTTGTATTGAGTTAAGGTGTACCAAGTCAACTAAAAATAAATTTTTAAATAAAATTATAGAAAACCCCTTTAAACAACTCCAAAGTCTACGAAAAATCAGAAAAAAAAATAATTCAGGAGTCACATTTGAGGAAAGGGAAGGCAAGGACAAAAGTCCAAGGCACCCTTTCAACCTAGCCAAGGCTAGTTACGTGATTTAGTCAAAGATTTTCTTAATTTAATCTAAAAATTTATCACATTTGGATGTACTATATGGATGCAAACCCTAGACCTAAGAGGGTATCGAGGGTCAAAATATCTCTTCGAAACTCAATCGGTGCCAATCACATTAATTGTGATGCCCAATAAAGACTCTTTGAAGAAGTCACGAATAATGCAAAAATATGAGACTCTAAGAAAAGGAAAATAATAAAAATAATCATAATTATATAAATATACATGTCCTAAAGGAATGCATCATGTCGGGCACGAGGGACTAATGTTCGTGACTCAATTTTCCCTTTTATAGAGGGAATACGAGCGTGCTAAGGCTAAAAAGCCAAACTCGTCAGTATCCCATATTTAAGGGTTTTCCTATCTAATCAAGCAAATGATCTAACATAATTCTAATGCTTAGATGAAATGCAAGTCTAATGTCATGTTTCATACAAAGGGGCAAGTAATATACATATAAGGGAAAATATGGAGGAAGGGATATACATATATAAGGGAAGTGTCATGCAACATGGTAAAAAGGCCCTAGAAAGTAAAGATATGCATGAGATGAAATGATTTTATCACACAATCATGATCTAACGTGCGGATGGTTCCTAAGGGTCTAGCGTTGGACTAGCCCTTAACTAACGTTCTCTCACAAGCATTGGACTTGTAAGAGCTCGAGGGGAAGACCATGACTAGCATTGGACTAGCCACGGTAACGGGCATTTGCATTCACCATATATACACAAGTAAATGGGCATAGTTAAAGCAAGTAGGCATGTGAGCACGTAATTCACATAACACATAAGCATGCATATCTAGATGCAAAGCCCTAAGAAAGCGGTAACACATAGCACGTAAGCATGCAAACCACACAAACGAGAAATAAAGCGAATAAAAGCCCTAACTATTACATTTGAGGGGGGGACCTACTACAATTTAAAAGGGGAATGTAAAATCAAATGAAGTAAAATAAACCTAACTATTACAGCTTGGCATTTAAATGCCTTTTAAATAATCAAAATGAACTAAAATAAATATACGAAATGAAAAAGAATAAAGCGAATAAATAAATAAATAAAATGAAAAAATTCAAAAGGCATGCAATTAAACACATAAATCACATAAGTACACACAGGGTCAAATAAAGTAAAAATAAGGGATAGAGTGTACCTCCCTTGGAGTCGGAGCCCTAATGAAGTGAAATTACTACTTTACCCACCAAAGCACAAAAGAAGGGTCAAGGCATCACTTTCGTCAAGAAATAATCGCAGGAATATGGAATTGAATCATTAAAGCATTTGAATAACTAGAAAATTCATATTCACAAAATTAGGATCCAACTAAAAGGAAGAAAAAAAAAGAAAGCTTGAGGGGTCAATTTGATTGGTCTTTCCAAATACTCGGGCCATAGTAGAACAAAGAGATACTTGGAGGGCCAAAGTGCAATTTTCAGACACTGACCCATGTTTAGCGGCAATGAAAATGAAATGCACACTGGTGGGACTAACCCATGTTCAGTGGCGGTGAAAATAAAATGCACGCTAGTGGGACTGACCCATGTTTAGCGGCAATAAAACATGAAAGGCAATGTTAATGAAAGGCTCACTAGTGGGACTGACCCAACGGCTAGTGGCAGTGTAAATGAAAGGCGCACTAGTGGGACTGACCCAACGGCTAGTGGCAATGTAAATGAAATGCACGCTAGTGGGACTGACCCATGTTTAGCGACAATGTAAATGAAAATGCTCACTAGTGGGACTGACCCAACAGCTAGTGGCGATGCAAAATGAAATGTTCACTGGTGGGATTAACCCATGTTCAGTGGCGGTGAAAAATGAAATGCGCACTAGTGGGACTAACCCATGTTTAGTGGCAATGCAAATGAAGTGCTCACTAGTGGGACTGACCCAACGGCTAGTGGCAGTGTAAATGAAATGTTCACTAGTGGGACTGACCCAACGGCTAGTGGTAGTGTAAAAGAAATGCTCACTAGTGGGACTAACCCAACGGCTAGTAGCGGTGCAAAAGAAATGCTGGTATGTATGAAAAAACTGCATAAGACTTGCTTGAAAAAAAAAATTATCCAAATATTTGCCCAGTGTGATGAATTGGTCAGTGGGATTAAACTCGAGCCTGCCGAAACTTGGTCAATTGGTCAGTGGGACCAACACCCGAGCCTGCCTTGATAATCGGTCAGTGGGATTGAACCCGAGCCTGCCGTGATGATCAAAACACACACGTTAGTGAGATAGACTCGATGCTAACGGTGACAGAAATCAGTGAATTAAATGTGGTTGTCAAGAATGGGGAATGGAAGGGTGCGGGGCGGGCGCTGAGATTTCATCAACAAGAAATTGAAATTTGTCAAGGAACAAGAAATTAAATTAAATTTTGATTTTTTGAGAATCTTTTCAAAAATAATTTGCCCCAGTTTCCACCAATTATTGTGCAACCGATCAATTGATTTGCATTACGGCATGGTTGCTCCTCCTTGAGGCCTTGATTCGTAAGATTCTGACTTACGCTTCTTCATCGATTTCAGCCATGGATACCTGCACAGGGGCTTGCCAAAGTACAACATGCACTTTATTTTAAAATATTGCAACTATTACTCATGGAAAGAGCAGTGTGATTGATTTGAAAGTATATTACTTGACTCTTGGACGAAATTTCCAAGTGTATTAAAAATTTTGCCCTAGTGTGGGCTTATTTTTGTGAAATCTCACAATAAAAATTTGCCCCAGTGTGGGCCCATTTAATTGCAAAAATTTGTTTGGATGACTCTCCATTTATTTAAACAAACTAAGAAACTATGTTTCCTAACAGAAAATTTCATGATGAATTTCTCGAAATAATACCAAATTACAGAAGATTTCTTCCTCATCTTAGCATCGATGCTTAGAGTAATGGGTCACCACTTCTTGTTAACTCGTCTTTCAGGACCAATCAAGTGATCTTATTTCTGATTTTGAGGTGGCTAAGAAAATGAGAAGTCAAGATTCGTCTTGTTCTTGTGCCCAAAATTGTATGTAATCCATTCAACATCACATCTTAGTGAAAGCAAAGAGTTTGTCACCCTTATTTCTTAAGAAAACGTAGTCAACATATAAGCTTGCAACATATGGGTAGAAACGATAGCTAAACATGTGAAAACTGGTTATACCCTTATGATCACAAATGATTGATGGATTTCTTATGAGCATAATCCTCACTTTGGGTTGTCATGAAGGATAAGTCAGCGATGGACTTTATGAGCTTGTAATGTGGTTTGAAAACGATAGTTAAAGAATAAGACTTTTAAGGACATTGCACCGAAAATCGTATTTTTCCAAAATTGCCCCTATTTTGAACTCAAAGATCTCAGATTTGGTGACTTTCATTATCACTTAACGGGGACTTCACCATCAAATCTTTTTCATTTCCTTTGCATTTATTTTTGCTTTTTCCATTCCTTTTCTTTTCAAAGGTGCCCTGGCGGATTTTCAGATGATGAGTAATGTTAACTTCACAGCTAATTAATTCAGAAATACATCTAAACAATTTTCTAGCATCAGTATATGCGCATCACTTGCCAATTAATTAGAAAGTTTCTTAACAGAGATATTACAAAGAACGGAAGTCAGGAATTTCGGCTTTTGTAATGGGGTCTGGTAGGGTGCTTAGAAAAGTTAAGGCTTGAAAGCGGATTTTCAAAAGTGGTTTAAATGATCTGAGATCGCATTATTATATCAACCCTTTTTTAGGGTTAAATCCTAACTTGCCCCAATTTATTCTCAATTGAGGCTCTTTTTCTCTCTCATTTTCTCTTTTCTCTTTTTTTCCTTTTGATTTTTCCTTCGGCCTTCTGCCATTCCTTTCAAAAATTTGCCCAGTCTATTTTTGAACTGAGGTTCTCTTTTCTCTTTTTCTTTTGATTTTGTTGCTTTATCACTTTTCACTTCTTGAGACTTTTCCTTTTTCAACTCAAACTTACCCCAGTGTGGGGTTTTCGATTCTCAGGGGTTGCCAAACGAAATAATTTATTCTGAAGGCTCAAAAGGAATAACTAGGGATAGAATGTTTGATTGGAAAAGAAGAGGGCCTGACTTTTATTCCGTTCCTTACATTAACCCTGCAAGGAAACTTTCATTAATGAGAAATTTCTTGCTTGTATCTGAATTAACTGACTGAGGAAGACCCTTGTTCATCCATATCTGTGAAATATAGGTGATCCGCCGGACAAAACTCTTCCTTTTCTTTTCTCTTTCTTCTTCTTTTCTTTTCTTCTCTTTTTTTTTTCAAAATTGAAGCCCAGGTAGAATCAAATTTCTCCAATTTGTGATTCCCTCTTTTCTTTTAATTTTTTAGCATTTTTACTTTTTCTCCTTTTGGAAAATTCTCCAATCTCCTTCCCCAAAGTGGAGTGCGATCGTAAGTGCT